AACCAAGTACTTTGCATGTAGTGTCTCCAGGATAATTAAACATTAATAAATGTTGCTTAAACATTAGTAATGATAATAAACGGGGCAATAATAAGGAAATTGGGGAGCGATATTTCAGATAAGCCTGCTACAGTTTGTCTGTTGGAGCAATTATCAGAAAGCCCTGGTGAGCTTCCAATCTGGGGTATTTTTTTTTTAAGTTAGTGTATATATGCAATAAGTTGAAAATATTTTGGAAAGCTCCGTCCAATTTTCTATGGAAAACCCAAGCAATCTTTCAAGAAGCAAAGTCTCTTTAATAAACAATGATACTAAATAAATCTGTTGATTGTTGTCTCCCCCCACTAGAAAGTACCCTCTGTGATAACCAAGACTTTGTTTTCTGTTTTCCTGGCACTTGCGATCGTAGCTGCCATGCTGGAGTGCTTCGTAAATATTTGCTGAATAAACGAGGGAATGAACCTGAAGCAAGTAGATGAATAGATGCACTTTTCCCTGTTTTCTGTAGAAAGCAGACTGTTTCTATGCTTTTCTATCAGATACAGACATATACTCCATGATATCAAGACTCCAAGGGGTTTTAGCGGGATCTCACACTTTCCTTGGGATGAATGTCCCGGAAGCCTGGGAGACCGTGGAAAGACTCTACTGAAAAGCCTAGCTGGCCGGTACCAACCCTACAAGATGCTCGTGTAGTCCACATAACAAACAGTAGGTGTGAAAATAAAGAGCAAAACCTCAGCTGTTAGCCCTGGAGGGGGTTGCGGGGTGGCGCTAAATGGTGTTACACGGGAAGTAGCACAGCTTCCTGACTTCTACACACGAGGGGAACGGTTTTTCGGTGGCACTCAATCAGGAAGGCAAAAGTGAGAAGAGATCACACCTGTCTCTTCCCTCTGCAACGTGGCAGAAACCCAGGGACAGGCCACAGAGAAAGGGAGCAAAGCGGCAGTGCTATATGAAGGGAAAATGTCACCTAATATCATAAATGTTGGAAGGGCATTAAAGGAGAGCAGCCACAGTTGAACGCAAAAGACGGTGAAGACACATTTGCCTCTATTAGCGAGAGTCCTCTATCAGCAGGGTTGTATAGTCAGGGCTGTCGGCCAGCAGCTGGCACGCAAAAGGTGGATAGAATTGGCCTGAAGCCCCTGCCGTGCACTGCGAAAGTGCGGGGCCCACGCTGGGACTGAACCACTTTCCAAAGGGAGCTGTACTTCCTGGGGAAACACAAGCTGAGGCCAACGTGAAACCCTGTCCTTTTCTCAGTACACACACACGCACACACATGCACACACGCCCATGCATGCACGTGCACACACACATGCGCATGCACACGGGTGTGCACACGTGCATTCCTGGAGTGTGTAAGTCTCCACTGAACCTGTGAGAGTCACAGGGTGGAGAGGGCATCACACAGCAACCCTACAGCAAGCAATTTAGAATCTGTCTGCCCTTAGATGACCTTGGGCTCTCCCGGCTGCTTCCTCCTACCCGGCAGCAGCGGACTTTCAGCGGCTCACGTCCCCCTCCTTCCCTCCACTCCTTTGTCTCTCCTTTCCCTCGCTCTCTGCAGCGTAAGCCAGTCACCTGGTGTAATATATATATATTTTTGCATAGTTCTTTTTTTTAACATCTTTACTGGAGTATAATTGCTTTACCATGGTGTGTTAGTTTCTGCTTTATAACAAAGTGAATCAGTTATACATACACATATGTTCCCATATCTCCTCCCTCTTGTGTCTCCCTCCCTCCCACCCTCCCTATCCCACACCTCTAGGTGGTCACAAAGCACCAAGCTGATCTCCCTGTGCTATGTGGCTGCTTCCCACTAGCTATCTATTTTACGTTTGGTAGTGTATATATGTCCATGCCACTCTCTCACTTAGTCCCAGCTTACGCTTCCCCCTCCCCATATCCTCAAGTCCATGCTCTAGTAGGTCTGTGTCTTTATTCCCGTCTTACCCCTAGGTTCTTCATGACCTTTTTTTTTCCTTAGATTCCATAGATATGTGTAATCTTATCTTCTCCTGTGGAGGCGCTTCACCCTCACTTCCTCATGTCACTGGACTCTTACCCTTAGCCTCCCTTTTATTCTTAAAGCCTCTCCTTAAACATCAGAGTTTTCTTAAGAACACTGTCAGTGACAGCCAGCCTGACGAGAACGTTTCCACCTGGCAAGAAAAGAAAGGCGCCATCCCCAAGCGAACCTCTGTGGAAAGAAAGCAGCTTGAGACACAGCGGAAGAGGATTATTTAAAAGAGTAGAAGAGAAATCTGAACGAGACGGAACAGCACAGCTTCTTCAGCAGGACATGCTCAGGGGCTGGAAGTCAACACCAGAGCCTGATGGTATATTCAGTTCCATTTACACAGATGTAACCATATTTTAAATAACCATCATAAACTGATCCTAATTTTATTTTAGAGTTAGGGAACAAGACCTTCTCAACTAACTCTTTTGCTGCCTTCATGAAGCTCCTAATTAGAGAACTCCTCAAGACACTACGCGCTAATTGAACTAGGCGAGCCATAGCTGATGATTTCAGGTCAATCGTGGTTCTCAGTAGCAGAACTCCTTAGAGAAAGTGGCTTATTCCTAGTCCTATACAGATGTGCCACATGTTCTACAAAATGTTGCCTGTCGTTTAGCAGAAGAACATTTTATTAAGAACTTAGATGAGGGGCCTATTCCGGGGCTTCCCTGGTGGCGCAGTGGTTGAGAGTCCGCCTGCCGACGCAGGGGACGCGGGTTCGTGCCCCGGTGCGGGAAGATCCCACGTGCCGCGGAGCGGCTGGGCCCGTGAGCCATGGCCGCTGAGCCTGCGTGTCCGGAGCCTGTGCTCCGCAACGGGAGAGGCCCGCGTACCGCAAAAAAAAAAAAAAAAAAAGAACTTATTTGATTTTTTAAAAATTGTACACTCTGCAACAGACCAAATCCCATCATCTAGAGCAGAGGTTCTCAAACCTGGGCCCCCAGCCCAGCAGCAGTGGCCTCACCTGGGAACTTGTTAGAAATCAGGTTCTCAGGCCAGACCCCAGACTTCTTAGACTGTGTAATCTGTGTGAATGAGCCTTCCAGGTGATGGTGATGCCCTTTCAAGTCTGAGAACCACTCCTCCAGAGCCACCGCGTCACCAGAGTCCATATTTCTAGGCGTCAGTGCAACCCCTGAATTATGATTCTTTTCATGGCTAGGTCCTTTGATTTACAAAAATCTGTCGCCCGGCCCTCAAAGGAGGATCTTGTTTCCCTCTTGGGGCCGCTCGTGGGCTCTGCCTGGGTTTCTGCTCCCTGCCCCGCGCTCCGGGGTCCTTCAACTGGCGGGCGGTGCTGCTCTGCGGGGTCGAGGGGCGTGGCCTCAACTGCCCCCCTGGCTGACTGTTCACAGCTGTCTCAACAAGGCGCTCTCAGAAGTCCCTAGGGAAAGCCAGGCTCCGCCTTGCTGTCCTGGAATCAGCGGCGCTCTCAGGCTTCCTCCGGAGCCCACGGCCCTCCCCATAAGTTCTCACCCCCTGAGCTCCTGTTCTCAGCCCATCGCCCTCCCACCCACACAGACTAGATGGGGCTACCTTGTCTCTTCTTACAGCAACTTACCCACCTCTCGGGCGGGGCTCTAATTTCCCCCTGAGTCTCACAAAAGCCAGCGGTCCTTCAGCTGGAGCACGTGTCAGACCCACGTGATGGGCTTATTAAAGCACATCTGCAGCTCCACCCCAGAGTTCGTGCTCCAGTGGGTCTTCAGTGGAGCCCAAGAACTTGCATTTCTAACAAACTCTTGGTGGAATTGATACTTGTGGTCCAGGAACCGCACTTTGAGAATCGCTATTAAAAGCCAATGTCACTGAACTTAAGAAAATCAATCCCCAAGTGACTATGCCCTGCTCTCTCCCTAGAAATCCAAAGTATCCATCAAGTAAGTCAACTTATTTGTTTGTCTTCACTGATAATTAAATTCCACTTATTACAAAAACAAGTTTGGAAGTGCCTTTAATTCTTATTTAAGCCATGGGCAGAAATCGTGAACTTACCCAGGGCGCTCAGAGAAACGCTTTTCCTCCCGAGGGAAATAGTGTTTTCCGTTGCTTCTAAAATCTGCCGGCCTTGGTCCTGACTCTGGTTCTCTCAAACTACGGTGGAGCTGGGGCTGGGGGTGGGGAATCAGGGTTGAGAAACTTTGCTGTCACGATGCAGGACCACAGAGGAAGGGGGATAGAGAGACAGATTCTTGGCTTTGAAAAGAAAGTGGGACATGACATTAATAATCCTGCCACTGACCAAAACAAGTCTTCAAAGGGAGGCCCTCACTTCCCCGTCCTTCCCCACCCTTCCCACCAAGCTGAGCCCAGAAATAGAACCCAGCTCGCTTCTCAGGGCTCTTCTCTCCACCACGTCTCCAGAGACCACAGCTACTGCCCCCAGAGCACTGCCCTGTCCTCCCAGCTGCACAGTCGCTTCTGAAATCTTAATCCTGGAGCTGAAGCCAGAGAAAAGTGCCAACAAGGCAAAAGCCTAATTCCAGATCCCAAATGTCCTTCTGCAGCCCCCCAAATGCCAAACGCTGCTGGCCGGCCCCAGCCAGGCCCCTGGGCCAGAGCCCACATCAGAGGCCCCTGGGAACAGGGGACCCAGTGATGGAAAGCATGTGGAGGCCTGTGGTTTTGCTTTCCTGAGTTCTCTGCCCCACCCGGGGGCAGGGCTGTAAGGAGGGTGGGGCAGGAAAGAGGGCTCTTTGGGGGCCCAGTTGTAAGGTCCTGCATCACTTGCTAGCCCCTCTCTTTGAAAGCAGAAAGTCAAACATTAGCCACCCCGGACCCAGACGAGCCTGACCCGTTGATTCAAGCGCCAAAGTTTCTGGGGAACAGCATTCAGAGGTCTCAGCTAACTGCCTTTTGCTTCTCAGAGTGGTTCCCCAAGGAGCATAAAATTTGAGAAGTGAAACTGAACATGTCACCCCTTTATGAGAGGAGGGGAAGCACCCTGAGGGCCCTTTCTCTTGGGCCAGTTATTCTTCTGTTGGTCACACGCAGAACCTCGCCATGCGGGTGCTCATGGCCGCCTTTCTTGTCTGGACTCTGCTGTCTCCCCAGGGCCGTGGCGGGGAAGCCTGGCCCACACACACGGCCTGCAGGGATGAGAGCTTGCAAGTCCTCTACCAGAGCTGCGGTAAGCGCTTTCTGAATGTCCATTTCTGTTCATGGGGAAATTAAGGCCCACAGATGTGAGCTGCTGGAGTGTTTTGTTGGGGTGGGGGAAGGGTGAGGGGGACAGTGGCCAAACAGGTCTGCGAGGACCCCTGGGAGCCCTGGGCAGAAGCAGCGATCGGCCGGGAGAGAGCTTAAGAGTATGGCAAGAGGAACAGAAAAAGACAGTGAGAGTCTAGATACAGCGATTCATTAACATCACAGAGCCCGAAAAAGAACAGACTGACTGGTGAGTCTACCAAATCGTGAAACATCGCCAGCTCAAGATCAGGAAGAGATGCTTCTGTCGCCTCCCTCGGTTGTACACCCGGGACACCTTGCCAAGTTACTTCATTTGCAAGTTGAGTGAAAAGGTCATTTACACCAAAGGAGAACACTCCTGTCCTGATGACACTCCCAGAGCTTCTATCACAGCAGCAACATCATTCATTCATTCAACAAACACTTATCTGGCAGCTGCCGATGCCAGGATTTTCTCTAGGGCTGGACATAACAAAAGGGAATGAGCTACGTTACCCTATGGGGCAAACGTAGATACCAACCAAAATTGCAATCTAATGAATAGAATGCTGGGAACTGCCGCAATCAGTGTCGGAACCGAGTCTTTTGGGGTGTATATTCATCTACTGGAGCTGTTAGCACACCACAGACTGGGAGGCTTAGACAGCAGAAGTGTATTGTCTCACAGTTCTGGAAGCTGCAAGTCCAAGATCGAGTGTCAGAGGGGTTGGTTTCTCCTTAGGCCTCTCTCCTTGGCTTGCAGACGGCCATCTGCTTCTCCTGTCTTTGCTTGGTCTTTGCTCTGTGCCCACATGTTCCTAGCATGTCTGTGTCTCTTCTTATAAGGACATCAGTCATATTGGATCAGGGCCCACAAGTATGACCTCGTTTAATCTTAATCACCCTTTGAAGACCCTTACTCCATATACTGCCATATTTTAAGGTACCGAGGGGTAGGACTTCCACATATGGATGGGGCTGGGGAATTCAATCCATAAAGGGGGCCTGAGTGACCAGAAAGCAGCCCAGTCTCAGGATCACAGCTTGAATGAAGATTAGGGGGACTGGCTCATGAAGACAGTGTGAAATAGGCCACTTTGGAGGTGGACAGGGCTCAGAATGCTGTTGGACGGTAGGAGGCGGAACGGAGATGCCCTTTAAGCACCCAAGTCGGCCGCATGATAAGCTGAGGAGTACTGGATGTTACACTGAGCAGAAGCTGATCCCTACGGCTGCCACCCAAGGAGCTGCCTCAGAGAGGTCCACATTTCACTCTTTTAAAAAGAAGGAACATCGAACATTGAAATGCACACACACATTTTTTTAGCGTAAAAGAGAAGGAACGGCTGGATGCTGGAAGTGTTGATCCCCGGGCTCCTGCTCTGCCTGCGGGGATGGGATGCTTTCTGCTGGCGCCTGTTCATTTCAGATGCAGGACCCGAAGCAAGGCTCGAGATGAATGCCCTGCTCAGGATTTGTTTTTCCAATTCGTCCTCCCGTGAAGGGTGGCCATGGCTGGTCGATCCCTCAGACCAGCCTGACGCCTGCAGCATTCATCCAAGCCTGGCAAGCCCCTGCCGTGAGAGACGAGAGGAGCAGATGTATCAGGGAAAGAGTGAGAGCTTCTCACCCACCCGCCCAGGGAAGGCTCCTCCCTCTGAAGGGGTGGTGGCGCCGTGGGGTCAATGAATGCTGAGCACAAAACCTGCTCCGGGCACTCAGCAAAAGGAATGGCGGAGACGCAGTCCTAGTCCAAGAGTGGTGGGAGGATGAGACAAGCACCAGGGTACAGGCTGTGTGTGAAGGGCTGCAACAGAGGCACAGGTCCAGCACCAGGGGACATGATGGTTGGAGAGGGTGAGATTGGGACCTAAACCCATCGGGGAAAGGTCATCAAGCTTGAGTTCAACCTTAAAGGATGATACAAACAGTAATTATAGCATCTCATGTTCATAGAACGTTTATAGGTGCCGGGCACCGCGCTAAGGGCTTTCTAAGAGTTATTCTCATTTACAGATGTGTAAACTGAGGATTAGAGATGTCAGGTAACTTCTCCGAGGCCACAAAGGTAATAGTGGCAGAATCACATCCCCAGTGGCACAGAAGAGGCGTTAGGTAAATATTTGTGGAATTAAAATAAATTGATCCCAGGCCTGTCTGACTCCAGAGCCTACTCTGAATCACCTGCCATCTAGAATTTTGTCCGAAGGCAGATGGCGTGGAGGTGGGCAGCGGGGAGGAGCATTTCGGCAGATAACAGCGTGCGTGAAGTTCGGGAAACGTGCCCAGGATTAGAGTTCACGGAGCTGCGGAAGGGATGGGACGTTGGGGAGGGTGAGAGATGAGGTGGGAGATGTGGGCAGAGCCCGGGTGTGATGGGTAATTTTATGTGTCAGTGTGACTGGGCCATGGGATGCCCAGATAGCTGCTTAAACTTCATGTCTGGGTGTGTCTGTGACGGTGTTTCCTGACGAGATTAGCACTGGAATCAGGGGACTGAGTAAAGCCGATGGTCCGGCCGATGTGAGTGGGCCTCGGCCAACCTGCGAGGGCCTGAGCAGAACGCAAAGGCAGAAGAAGGTTCAATTCACTCTCTACCCAACTGCAGACCTGGGGCCCTGATCTCCCACTTGCAGCCCTCCTGGTTGTCAGGCCTTCAAACGACACCACCAGCCTTCCTGGGGCCCCGGCATGCGGATGGCAGATCGTGAGACTTCTCAGGCTCCATCCTCATGTGAGCCGACACCTTGTAATAACTCTCTTTCTAGAATAGAGGCATATATGTAATTCCATTGGTTCTGTTTCCCTGGAGAGCCCTGACTGATACACCAAGAGACCCAGACAAGGTTGGGCTGTATCCTTTTGGCAATGAGGAAAGGATTGCGTTTTGGCAAGATTCCTCAGGTACGGGTAGGAGCGTGGATATGAGACTGAAAACTGTTTGAGGCTTCAGGCAGGATTTGTAGCCTAGAGAATCAATCATCCAGGAAAGAAGCCATGGGAGCTAAAGAGCAGAATTTCAACAGGCTTCATGTCAGAAGGAACCTTTGGTGTACACTGAGATCAGCAGAGAGGGAAGCAGTGTCCTGGGAGCTCCTCTAGGGATGGGCCTCCCTCCTCTCTTGAGAGCCTTTGAGCTATCGGGGACTGAATGGCTGCATACCCCTCCGCAGATGGAGATGCCCCCTCCGCAGCTGGATTCACAGCGGGGCCGCCCCTCGAGGCCTTCGCACTATGACATAGACATAGTATGTGATCCTTCAGTTGTGATGCTAAATCCAGGCCTGGGGGTTAGACATCCCTGGGCACGTCAGGGGTCCCGACATGTGCACAGATGTGGGAGGATCAGCCGACAAAGATAAAGGATCTACTGTCTTCTGGGTTTAGCGCAGAAAATCCTTCATTTTTCCTTTCTCTTTTTGTTTTATCATTTTAGTGGGAGGGGGGATTTTCAGCTAGAAACTGTTCTGAATAAGACAACAATCCTCGAGGTGAATGAAAGAATTTCATAAACAGTTATGGGGCTCTGAACACAGACCAGGAAGTGAGCAAAAGTGTCTGAAAAAGCAGAAGTTCTGCTCTGTCCAACCGTTAGTGCTGCAGCAAAGAAGAGAGGGACAGTCTTCATAAAAGCCAAAGGGGGAACAAACGCAGTCAGGGGCCTTTCTTTTGTTAAATCATAAGACAATTTCCAGGGCTAGAAAAAGCCCAGGGGCCCCACCCCACATACATGCCCCAAATGTCCACCAATGTGTTTACTGAGGTGCTGCTTCTATCACACAAAGATGTGATGTGGATCACAAAAGTGCACGTGGTCGGAAGATGAACTAGATGGTAGGGGAAGCGGTGGGGTGGGGAGGGAGAGGGGAATAATAAAGCGGGGGGGGGGGGGGGGGGGAGGTCAGGACACTTACAACAGAGGGGGCAGCAGCGGGAGGGATAGGAGCTTGGGGTCTGGAATCATTCCAACCCTTAGGCAATACTCTCTGTTTCCTGTCTTTGATTGTAAAGTGGGTTTCCTTGGTGTTTGGTGGCTTTAAAGGACGTGCATTGATTCTCTTAGAGTCTTGGAGGCCAGGAGTCCAAAGTCAGTTTCACTTGGTCAAAGGGCACCCTCACTTGGACTCTCCAGGGGAGGGTCCTCTCCTTGCATTGTCCAGCTTCTGCAGCTGCTTCCCTGCATCCTTTGGCCCACAGCCCCCTCCTGCGTCTTCAAAGCCGGCAGCATTGCACCTGGCCTCAGCTGTCACATTCCTTCCTTCTTCTGTGTCAAGTCTCCCTCAGCCTCCCTCTCGTGAGGACACTTGTGATTAGGATAATCTCACGACCTCAGGATCCTTATAGCTTAATCACTTCTGCAAAGTCTTTTTTGCCACTTAAGGTAACCTTTATAGGCTCTGGGGATCGGGGCATGGATATCTTTGGGAACAATTATCCAGCCCACTACAATAGGGCTTATCATTTTATCGGCATCTCAGGGCTGTGTGAGGATTAAGTGAAAAGGACTGTGTGAACAGTGCTGAACACATACTATGTGCTCAGTAAATCTTTGCTGCTGCTGACTTGTAAGATATTTCACCGTCACGAGAGGTGTATTTGACTCTGAGCTTCCTTGAAGCCAGATCAAACAAGGAAATTACACTGTTTACAAAGTCAAACCAGTTTTCAAGGAGATGTCCAGCTTTTCCTGACCCTGGAATAAGCTGTGAGAAGCATTTCTCCCTGGAGCGAGTGGCATCTGGAGAACATCTCTACAAGAGATGCCACAGTGACTCACATCCACTGCTTTTTGTGGTGCCCCTCAGTGTAGACCAAGGGCTCATTACCAAAATGAAACTCAGGATCGATTTTGCAAAAGGCCACAGTAGAACCGTCCTTGAATGCAGCACTTGCAGGTCTGGGTTGCTCAAGGGGAATTTGGACACCCATAGGAATGGGTGAGCCGCAGGTGCTCCAGGACCC